TGTGTTGGCCTAACACCTTTAAACTAATCAAAATAACCTCCCCTCTCCGTGATGGTGGGCTTTGTTCATGTGGGATTGCAATAACAATGTGAATGATTTTACAGATTTTATTCCACTTCAGTGATTTATTACAAGCCCAGCGAGCTCTGACATGCACTGAAGTCAGCGGCTTACGGGTCAGAGCACGGGTTAGCCCCAAAGGCTGGTCACTGAAATGGCAAATTTGCATGTGGTTGCATTAAATAAATAAAGTTGTTGCTCATATATGGCTGATAAATGTAGAAACCTTGGAATTGGTTTTAAATCATGAGCTGCAGTTATGAGATTCTCTTTGGTATTTAAAAAATTATATTATTATATTAATTATATTGTTATATTAATACATATTGCATAAACTTGTTCTACTGGTAAAATATACTTTAAAATACTTTAGCCTGTAGACAATGGGTTAGCTGGTGTGTCCCATAGACCTAAACATATAAACTATTGCCAAAATTAAATGGTGTTTTGCTGCTGCAGAACAACAGTCTCTCCTTGGAGTTGCAGATATTTTCTCCTTCAGCCAGTCTGCCCAGTCGAGCAGCCAGGGCAGGTTTAATCCCTTGCTGGTTTTTAAAGATGCTGGATTCAGCTCCATGCAGAAGACCTGCAGAGCTGCAGCCCTCACCAACAGCTCAGCGTAGGGGTGTGGAGAGGACACTTCTGCCCTAATCTTTTTCAGCAGAAGACTGATTTTTAATTATTATTATTATTTTTTCTTCATCTGCTTCCTACATTTGAGAACTAGTAATAGTGCAGGTCGCTTCTGTTAGATTTAAAATTGGAATTGTCAATGAAAACCACTTTGTCCAGGGTCTGCTTTTATATAAACTTTTCATTTATTTGTAGGAAATCTAACCTAGACTTGCATAAAAACTTGCTGAAGGGTTGTTTTCTCTGGAGCTGGGGATATCTCTGACTTGTTCTGCAGTGTGATATTTCCAGACAGGGTTTGAGCAATGTTAAACCAGAATATAGAAGCAAAGGGATTGAAATCAGGTCCTTCTTCATTTAGCATATAGCTCCTATGCATATTTAATTGGGCAGAGGTGGTCTGTTTCATGAAAAAGGGCACGCTTCCCTATAGATCAAATATTTAACCAGATTTTTAGATAAAAGAATACCTTCCTACATGGTACACTTCTGTAATAGCACGTGTGCAGGGAGTGTGGGACACAGGCACGTGTCTACAATCCACATTTTTGAATTCTAGTGGATTTAAAACATGCTGTGGATTGTTTTTTTTTTCTTCCCCACACATATGCTAGACCGATAGTATATGAAGTTAATATCAAGTTAATCTAGATAAAGGGTTTTTTTCTTTTTTTTTTTTCCTTAAGACTTCCCATGGCAGGATTGAAAGCTCACACCGAGTACGTCCCATGGATAATGTTTTTTGTGTTGCAACATTGGATCTATAAATAAATGTGAAGCACTGCAGTAGCAAACATCACTTTTTTCTTTTTTTTCTGAAGCGCCTACAGCGTGTCATTACAGATGGATTGATAGTCTTGATAACATTGAACTTTTGTCAGACCTAACCTGTCAGACTTGTTACATGTCAGAAATTTTCTGTCATTTTCCGTGCTCTTCAAAAGGCAAGTATATTTGCAACCTTGAATGACATTGAATATGGAAAGCAGACAGAAATTTATCATTTGACAGAATTGGTTTTGTTCTGGGTTTTTTTTATTTTTTTTTTCTTCCTCTTTTTTACAGTGACAAATCTGTAATTGGATTTTAAAATTCTGACTACTCTGTGTTTTAGGAATATACAACAGCTGATTGCGGCTTATAAGAGCTACATGAACCATCTTTTAAAACTCATTCTTTATTAATTCACATTCAGATAATTTATTTTTGTGCTTCTTGGACTGAGGCAACTTCTGACCTTTCTTACTGGGTTGTACAAAACAGCTTGGCAGGGTACAGGCACCGGAGAAGGGCTTGTACAGGAGACAGTGCAGCAAAGGATGCCGATGCTTAGAGAGCAAATTTTCATAACACTAAGGTTAAAACTAGTATGGTTTATACCTAGTGAGGATACATCTTCAAATGTGAGTGTAATAGGGATAAAGCTGTATCAAAAAGCTTATTTTGGTGTCTTAAACTAGAATTTAATTCTGAGTTATGATGGTTTGCTTTAAATGAGGTTGGTTGGGTTTTTTTTAAAGAGATGTGGATGAAAAGTTAGGTTCTCTGCATATAATAGCAAAAGCTGTGGATTTCTGGTGTAAGAAGCAGCAAAGAAATGGATGAAAATATTTCATCTAAGGATGAAAACAAGAATTAAGACAAGTACAAGGAAATCCTAGACAGAGCATTAAGATGGCAGAGATGGAAGATGAGGTTCAGTCATATAGCACGAGTGCTTTTTTTCAGGGCAAAACTCATAACTGGACTACAACATTTTACACTGAACAAGAAAGAGAAAGATTTCTGATTGCTAATAGAAACACGCTGCAATCAAAAGGAAAAACGTTCTGTACGTTAGTATGCAATAGCACTATACACTTCCGAATGTATTACACCCTAGTGAAATCAAGAGGATAATGATTAGCTCCTCAACTAAAAAAGGTTTTCCAATGTTTTGGTTCAAAATACAGACACTGGTGTTAATAAATTGGGCTGTATATCATAGACCACATCACTCAGTCAATGTTTTATGCTAGGAGGTTACGTAGCATTGTAGGTATCAAACACAATGGAGAAAAAGAAAGTAGTTCTTCCCATTATTTTGTTTTTAAAAAAAAAAAATAAAAAGAGCAAGGGATTCTATTAGTTTTCAATACTGTTAATACAAATAGAAGTCGAAGCTGTGGAGCAGGGTTATTATGTGGCTCATTACTGTTTATTACCACAAGGCACATCAAGATGTCTGCTAGTTAGAGGGAGTAAATCATTTGGAACATGCCTGCTTTGTCGATCTTCTGCACGATGCTCAGCGCTAGTGTGCCTTCTTCCAGCGCTTTGAGGAGTGTGTCTAAAATCTGTTGCTTGTCATATGTTCTCTCCATCTCTTGAGGAAGAGAAGGGAACAGATGAATGTTTTATTTTGGTATGATTTGTTTTTGCATTTCTGAGTGTAAGGGAGTGTTTTTCTTCTGTGAAGTTTCTGACTAAACTGTGTTCCAATGAAATCAAGAAGAGCCTTGCTGACTTCACGTGAGTTAGGATTTGGTTTGTTGTGTAGCTCCAAGATAACTGTATTTTTTAATTTATTTTTTGCATAGCTTGCCAGTATTTTTCAGTATTGCTGAAGACAAAGAAAGTTTTGTTCTGTCAGTCATTACACTGATTTTAGAGCTGTAGAGAAACAAGATGAGTTTAGTGACTTTGTGCCTCTTCAGCTGGACTTTAGTAAATGTTGATGTTTCATGATACACTTTTCTTTTAGCTTTTTAATAGTCTGAAACATCCCCAACACTTCTCTTAACCTCTCTTTTTTGGCCAGGATCAGAAATGAGCTAGTAAATTTAAGCTCAAACTCATCAAAGAACTAACAAACCTTGGTAAAGACTTCAACAGCTAAGGATTGCAGTTGAAAGGCTCTCGTCAATCTTGCATGAATGTGATGTTCTTTCTTTTTCTGATTTGTCTTTACGCCACTCTGTATTTCTTTTGACTAGAGTCTAATTGGGAGGTTTTTTTTAAAAGCTGCATTTTCCCATTGGAGCAGGAGTGCTGCTAATGTGAACTAACTGCCTGTGATTTTTTTTAAGTCATGATGATGCTTATCTTCCGTTGCTTAATCTTCCTCCTCCTGCTTTTCTTGCTCTCTAGCCTGACTGTAATGTGTGATCTCTACCAGTGCCAAAGACCTTGTGGATGTGAGATCTGTCACCTACATCCTCATGCTGGTATGAGAACGTGGCGTGTCCCCTTAGCCCTGGCTTTCTCCATTCCATCACGCTGAGGAGGTCTGCTCTGCCAACAAGCCACTTAAAAGATGTTTGTCAACAAATTGAGTAAAAGATGCCTACAGCTCGTTATGCTTAACGCAGGTTTGTTGCTGTCCCTGCTTACCCCTGCACTGCATGAAGCACGTGTCTGTGTGACATGAGAGAGCTTCAGAGAGAGCAAGGCAAGCAAGAAAGCGTTGCACAAGGATGCTTTCCAGAATTCATTAAATCAGTGCAGCAAATACCTGCTGGTTTTGTTATATTTACAATCCCATTTGACAAATTTTCTAGTTTGGAAATACTTCCGTACCATCTGTTGATCCTGTTCAGCAGAGCAGTGTTACTGGCCTGATGATTTCTTCAGCAATTTCGCATTTCTTCAGAAATTCTCAGGCAGGATTTAGAAGTACATGGGTTAAAAAGAAAATGTCTTCACTATTGATTTTTCTCTGCCACTGGCTAATCTATTTACTAACTTATTTATATGGTTCTTTAGTATTCTTCATCTATGTGTAAAGATCTAATTTTTCCTATTGGCAATCATGCAGACAAGCAAGCTTGATCAGGTGAACACGTAAGGTACGTAGATATTAGTGCACATATATCTGAAGGAAGAAGGACCTTAATTTATTTACTTCTCCCAGAGGTTTTTCATTTCTGCCATGACTTCTAGAAGCAACCTAATGCACAAATGAGCTGGTGGAAATGACAGTATAAAGATTGTTCCTGAACTTGTTGGGCAGAAGTGGAAAGCTGGCGAGTTGACTATATCAGCTGGAAATGGATGGATTCTGCAGCTTACCTTGCGCAGAAGTTGGGGAGGGAAAGAAAAGGAAAGAGTTGCACCTCTTGGTTGAGTTGGGGGGCACAGCAACGTAGCTGGGAGTCACTGCTCCTCTGGTTGTCTTCAGGGTCCTTAGCTTTATGTCTCAGGAACTTTCTCACTTTGTCACATCAGATTCATACACAATTGTCCTCAAAGAACTGGATAATGTGGTCAGTGCTCACTCT